TAGTGCTTTGGGGATTCATGACATACATCTAAACGGAGAGGGGAAAGTGGGGTGGGAGGAAGAGACAGATGAGGGGAGGTTAAGGAAAAAGTAATCTACAAATCTGGGGGCAGACTTTAGAGGAAAGTAGTGCGGGACTGAGAAAATAGAATTCTATCCTTTCCCATAGTAGATATCTTCAAACAGTACATGTCCTAGACAGAGACATCCAGAGCAGGAGCTAAGCCCACGCAGGTGAGGGACCCACAGTGGCGTGGGAGCAGGAAATGGGGCCCTGCTCTTCGACTGAGGAGTGAGGGAAGAGCAGCAGTGACCCACTTCTCCCCGTCTCCCCGATCAGGGTGGTGCGGGGGGTCTGAAGCCCCACACCCTCCCCTCACCCAGGGCGGCAGCAGAGGGGCAGATGTCAGGCTGGGGAGATGCGGGAGGAGCAGGGGGACCCAGCCTGGCTGGGCCTGTGCCCACCATCTCATGCCTCCGATTCGCCAGGTGTTAAAGAGCCACGGACAAGACTACCTTGTGGGCAACAGGCTGAGCAAGGCTGACGTGCACCTGGTTGAACTTCTCTACTACGTGGAAGAGTTTGACCCCAGCCTCCTGGTCGGCTTCCCACTGCTGAAGGTCAGTCGCAGCCTCCAGAGGGAAGGCCCACGTGGCCTGTCTTGGAATCTGGTATTTGGACTCTTGGGTCCGCATCACTGTCCAGGCCTCCACTGCCCCCAGGTCTCCAAAATCAGCTCCTAGGCTCTGGGGAGGCTTGAAAAGAATCCTGTTATGCCAAGGAGATCTCAGGTGGATGCTTTTCCAGGGAGAATAAGTTGACTTTTGCAAATCAGAAGGACTCAGCACTTGGCATTTCCCTGCCAAGCGCCTGCTCCCTGACGGTCTCTGTCCTCGTTTCCTCTGGGATTCCCTTTACCCCAGGTGTGTCCTTCTCCTTCCACCCCTGAGTCCGTGTGAGCAGGTCTCCTTCCTTCTGGCTGCCTCCCATCTGCTCCTGTTCCTTCTCTCAGACACTGGGCTCCTGTCTGCCCAGGCTCCCCTCTCTCCCCATATCTCTCTCAGTGGACAAGGCAGTTTTCACCGGCCCTGTGGTTTTCCTTTTGTGTTTTCTGCCTTCAGTTTCAGCTCAGTTTCTAAGTTGAGAGACTTTATTTGTGTTGACGTGACAGACGCTTGGCTGTTCCTTGCATTGCCCAGGAGCAATGAATGTACAGGATTCGTGGGCAGGGCAGAAAACAGGGATGGCTTTAAGCTGGATAAAGTTGGAAACAAATAAGTTTTGGGGAAAATGGTACCGAGCTGTATTTTCTTCCTCCTGCCTTCCCTCCTCGCTGGGAGCCTCATTCTGGTGCTGAGGGAGGGGACCCAGCTGGTCCTCGTGTACAGGGGTCTCCAGATGCCTGGGTGGTGCCCCTGCTGGGCTGGTCTTTGTCTGCCCTCAGAGACTCTGCTCTTGTGCATTATAGGCCCTGAAAAGCAGAATCAGCAATCTCCCTACTGTGAAGAAGTTCCTGCAGCCTGGCGGGCAGAGGAAGCCTCCCTTGGATGAGAAAACTTTAGAGAAATTAAAGAAGGTTTTCAGGATGAATTAAAGCAGGCCTGGCTGTCCAGCACCCTCAGGACCCATCTTCTGAAGTTTTTCAAAACTAAAATCCTTGACCTACATGTAGATCTTTGTTGTGAGACTAATAATCCTTCCCAAAGTAGAAGTGTTAGTTTAATTAGAAATTAACTCTGCCAGTTTGGTTTCAATGCAATCTATTTTCTGTTGATCAAATATGAAATCATGATAGCCTCCTAAATTGTTTCTTGGATTTAAAAATAAAAGGAGAAAACCTTTCATGGACTCTTTGATATATCTGAGAAATTTTTATATTTAACAGTTATATACCTTGTCAAAAAGAGAAGTAGAAATTTTCATCTGACATTCTCAGCTACACAAAAATAGTCTTCCCTTTCGCAGTTTGCTACCTTCCTGACCTACACCTAAAGCCTTTTTTTCTCTGTCTTTTTTTAATGGAATCATTTTCCTTCAGGTAGTCAGCCTTTTTTTCTATTCAATTATGGAAGTTATATTTATTTATTTTATGTCTAATATGGATCATTCAGTGTCTCAGGGGCTGGGTTAATAACAATGGTGAGCAAGCCAGATATACTCTGTGGTCATGGGGCTTACTCAAGTGAGAGAAATAGAAAAATAGATAGTCGTAATCCCAAATCATGCATACATTGTATATGAGGTTCCTATAGCTGCTATAACAAACAGTCACAAATTTAGTGTCTAAAAACAATAGAAATTAATTCTCTCACAGTTCTGGAAGCTCTTCATGTGAATTCAAGATATGGCCCTGCTCTCTCTGAAGGCTTCAGGGAAAGATATTTCCTTGCTTCTTCCTGGCTTCTGAGGGTTGCCAGCAATCGTTGGCATTTCTTGCTTAGGAGATGGGCTTCTGCAATCTCTGTCTCTGTTGTCACATGTGGGTGTGTGTGTTTCTGTCCTAGTTTCCCTCTTCTTAAAAGGATGGCAGTAATCGCACTTGGGTCTCCGCCACCCCCATCCTGTATGACCTCACCTTGACTTCACTACATCTGCAAAGACTGTCTTTACAGATCAAGTCACATTCAAGTACTTCGGGTCAGGACTTCAACATATCCGTTTAATCTTCAACACCACCACGTTAGGGGATGAGATCATACTGAGCATGAAGCTCATCAGGACACCTTTTCCAGAATCAGTGGGTCAGATACGGTTTCTCAAGTGAGGAAATATGAATGATGTGAGATCTGAAGGAGAGAGGAGTCGCAGTTAGTGACAGGTTGGGCGGCAGGGATGGAATCCTAGCAGGGGCTCATCAGGGCCAGGGGCTTCGAGAGAGAGAGACGGGACATGGTGTGCATGAGGAAAGAGGCATCATCAGCTCAGGAGCACTGAAGCACGGGCTGGGAGTGGGGACAACGAGGGAAGATCATGAAACAGGGCCCACAGTCCTGCGGACTTTGAAGGCCACAGCAACAAGTTTGGATTTTGTCCTAAGGAAAATACGGCACACCTGAAGTGTAGCTATATACCCTATTTTCCCAGCTGATTATAAACAATCAAATCACATCTTTTAAATATTCATTTTAAGTCACTCAAGCATCCATCTCAGAATAGCAAGAACATTTCCCCTCAGCTCCACCCCCAGTCTCTTTCCCATGTTAAATCTGATTGATGCTTCCATTCAAGGCGTCAAATAGCCTGGAGACCAACAGACAATCCCACCAGTCCTCCCCTGGAATCCTGGGATGCCTGCTCTTCGCTGTCCTTCTGCCGCACGGAGTTCCTGTGGTCCCGTAGACCGCCTGATCTGACACAGATCGGTGGGCACCCTGGCCACCGTTAGTCCACCTGAGCTTCCACCTGAGCTGGAAGAGGAGTCTCCCTCTCTCTGTCCTTCGGGCCTGCGATCTCCAACTACAGAGGGAGATGTACAGACATTTACCCCGGCATGTCGTTGTGCAGGAGAGGCTGAGACACAGTGATTTCTAGACTCAGCTGCGTGCTGAGCCTGTACCTTGGGTTCCTCTGGGGAACTCTGGGATCCATGGGATTGAGCCCGGGGCCCTAGGTCCAACTGCCCATTTTCATAGCATGGCCTTCTCCCTGTTGAGTGGGGTGGAACAGAGACACAGGGCACATAGCTTCTATGCTTAATGTCTACTCCGTGTCAGGTCAACACAGCCCAGCCAAGAGGTGCCCACCTGTTTCCCCGGGAGGCTTCTGGTTGCCTTTGCACATTTATCCTCCCTCTTCAGCTTAGGCTCAAGGGATTCATGAGCAGGAGAGGCCTTTGTCGTACATCCCTCCAACACTATGTTCTTACACCCTTGCTTGAGAACAGAGGTTCTCAACCTCATCACACCTAGCCTTCCCCAGTGGATAACATATTTTGTAAATGCTTTTTATTATCCTGAAGTGAACTTAGTAAGATTTACCTCATTGTGGCTGTTGCTATGAACACAAGAAGAATGAGGTATCACCTTATCTCAAAAAGGGTGGCTGAGAAGAATTTAATGAAATGCCTGTTTACAAAACTAGTAGGGTTCAGATACCTCAAGGGATGGTGACATGGTGCTCTCTAGGGTAGAAGTCACAGTGGGAGGACTTTACCTCCCCCATCCTCAATGTGAGAAGGCCACAAACAGGAGAGGGACCTAGGAATGCACTGAGGGTCATAGATACAGGAAAGGGCCCCCTGACAGAAGCTTGTGGCTTTCATAGAGGAAGGCACCCACTGCCGGCCTAAAGATTCCAGAGTGCGTGGGCAGTTTACAAGAATCACAAACGGCTGGAAGTGATTGCAATGCTTTGTGACTAGCTTGCACTATAGTTTTATCCCTTTTCATGCCATGCATAGTGTGGTTAGAAAATATAAGGAAATGTGTTTTTAATTTTGGGTGTATATACTGATTTATATATTAACTTATATTTACTATGCCAGATGTTAACTATGTTGAATATCATTCCTGGGTAATCTGTGACATAAAAACATAAAGACGTTTGTTATACAATCATTTGGATTTGGCATTTGATCCATCCACCACCTATCATTTTCATGAAAAAAGTAGATATTAATTTCTCTGACCACACAGAGGGAATTGGGTCAAGATTTGAGCTGTTATGTTTGTTAACTTGCCAATTTTCCAAAATCTTCTTAAAGAACAAGCATGTATTAGGAACACTGCCACCAGAGCTGCTTGGATGAGGCAGCCGTGAGTCAGCAAAACTTCAGTATGTGTTGACTTTGACACATCCTGCCTTCCACTTTCTTCAGCAATCTTTGTTCACCTCTCCTCTGTACTCAATAGCTATGTTTGAATGTATTTGTCCTTTGGAACTTTCAACAGAATTGCAACATTCTAAATCAACAGACTAGCCATGCATATCCCCCCCACCAAAAAAAATATAGACTCCGACCTCAGAAACTGATGATCTTAAGGATTATGGTTCCAGTAAATAATATTTAAAGGATTTTATTCATTATTGTATTCAATAAATGTATCTTGAGTGCATTTTTTCCCTGCATTCTTGTAGGCACAGAGGATACCATGGTACATACAAGAGCATTTTCCTGGTCAGACAATGTGTAAATGAACTGATCAATGAAAAAGTTAATTATAATTAGTGATGAGTGCTGCCAGGAAAATAAAACAGCACAGTGTGATGGACAGTTTTGGGGATGGTGATGAGGAAGTGGTTAACCGAGAATAGAAGACTAAGTCCTGGATAACAGGAAGACTCCAAACATGAGATGTAGGGTAAACAGGGAGGGCAGTGGCCTGGGTCAGGAACGACTCTGGTGTGTGTCAGGCACAGCAGGTGGGCAGACGCAGGAACAGGTGAGAAAGCACTGAAAGGTGAGATCAGAGAGGCAGGCGTGGGTGTATCAGTTCTCTATTCCTGCATAACCACCCCAAAGTTTAGCGGCTTAAAGCAACTAACATTTATTTTCTAATGCAGTTTCTGAGGGTCAAGGGTCTGGAAGCAGCTCAGCTGGGCGGTCCTGGGCCAGGGTCTCTCAGAAGGTAAGCCATCCGCAGGGGCTACAGTCACCTGAAAGCTTGACTGAGGATCTGCCGGCTGATCTCCTTCCAAGTCGGGGCAGCCCTTGGCTCCTCGCTGGCCGCTGGCAGGAGGCCTCAGTTCCTTGTCACGCCTGCCTCTCTGCAGGGTGGTCTGGGTGTCCACGGGAGGGATGAGCTGACTCCGGGAGCAAGCAATCCAACGGTCGGCCACGTCTTTTAGGATCTAGCATCGGAAGTCACACTTCTGCTCATGATAGGTGGAGGACGTCATCTAGGATGAGAGGACAGTTGGAGGGGAGAAGGGAAGCAGCCTGGGAGCCAGTCAAAGAATCTGAGGAGGTGTCGGTGAGGCAGGGGACAGCCATGCAGTCCGGCATCATGAAGGAGAGGAGCCCAAGGCCCGAAGAGTGACGTCACGTTTGGTAGCACAGAGGCCGTGCTGAGCCTAGTGCAAGGGGGTGCAGTGCGGGGGTGCGGCACTGGTGCAGGAGCCTGCCTAGTGTGGGTGGGGAAGCAGATGGGAGGTGAGAAGCAGAGACGGCAGCCACTAGCTGCCCTTTTGAGAAGTTTTGTTCCAAAAAAGGGCAGGGGAGTAGAACAGTAGACTTATTTGAGATCAAGAGCAGAAAGAAAAAGTGAAATAGGTTGGGCTCAATTTCATTTGCAATTGTGGGAAGCCACCTACCAGCCAAGGCCGTGTACTACAGCGACAGAGGTTCCCAAAGGCCCTGAAGTCGGTACCAGGCAGCTCCGGGCGCGACGGTGCGCCTCCTAGTGCCCGACCGCGGCATCACAGTCAACCTAACACACAAGTTGGGCCTCTTCAGAAATTACTTTCCTTGTAAAACGTAAACCTACACTGGAGTAAACTGCCGTGAGAAGCTAAAAACTTCTGACTGAAAGGCTGAGTCGGAAAGCTCTCCACAACTTCCCCTCAACACCTTCCAGTTCATTCTACTTGTTATTTCCTACTTCCTCATTTTACCTTCATCCCTCAGTCCCTCTATTCCAATCCCTTTTCCACTGTCCATTTCTGCGGTACAGATTTGCAGTGACGTTTCCACAAGCCAAGGAACGCCCAGGGTTGCCAGCAGCCGCCAGAAGCTAAGAGAGAGGCGTGGAACGGATCGAACCTCAGAGCCTCAGAAGGAACCGGCCTTGGTGACACACCTTGACTTCAGACTGCTGGCCTCCAGAACCGTGAGAGCATGCCTTTCTGTTGTGACAGCCACCCAGTGTGTGGTAGTTGGTCACAGTGGCCACAGGAAACCAGTACAGCTGCTGTGAGATAAACAAGAAACTGTAAGACAACGACATAAACGGATCTCAAAACAATCGTGCTGAGTGGAAGACCGGAGAAGAAAGAGCACTTGTTGTATGGTTTTTTTTATATGAAGTTGTAGGCTTTGCAAACTAATTTACTGTGACAAGAAGCAGATCAGTGGTATGGGGAGAGGCCAGAGGAAGGGACTCCAGCAGCGCACAGGACATACTAGGTTCAACATACAGATTATATAAACAACATACTGATGCATGGGTTGCATCCATGTCAAAACTTACCCACTTGTACGCTTACATTATGTGTGCTTGAGTATGTGTCAGCTCTACCCTCAGTAAGGCAATAAAACTAATGGAAGCAGATAATACCCCCTACATTGTTCCCATAGATGGCCGTTCTGGACAGTTCCTCTGCTCTCCAAGCTGCCTGGCCTGCCTCTCTCCTTTGCATGTTGCTTCCAATTATAAATAGGCTTAGGTCTCTGCTGATCTAACCCCCTTGCTACCTCCATCCCCTCCTCTCAGAAGAAACCCAGCAAACACTCCAAAGCAAATCAGAAGAGCTCTTCTTTATTGCTGGCTGCTTTTCTCATTTGCTTGTTCCTTCCCTCTATCCTGTCACTTCCAAACTCTAGCTCTGCTTCTCCCCAAAGTCTTGAAATTTGTTTCTTGACCAATGAACTAATCACCAGATTAGTCTGATTAGTTCAAAGCTCTTTTCTCAGTTCTGTCTTCTTTGACTTCTTTCCTGCAAATGCAAGTCCAACCTCCTTTTCCATCAGCACCCTTCTGTCAGGACCCCCACCCTGCCAAACTCTAGTGCTCATAGAGTCCTGGGGCTCCCTTTCCGTGGTGATTTATATGCCTTTCTTGCCAACTTGCTGTCCCACTCACTCCAGCCAATCCGGCTTCATTGCAAAAGGTTGGAGTTTTCACAAAATGAATAACAAGTTCTCGGTGACAGCCCTCTGTCCTGCAGAGCTCAGGTGCAAAGAACGCTATGAAAGGCTCCAGAATGTGACGTTGGGCAGCAAACACAGCATTCGGCAGGGCAACTTGGGTGAGCCTCCAGAATGGCCTGATCGCCGTCCACACTCTCTATGCTCCTTTCCTTCAGATCTTGTAATGCTCTCCTCACCACTCTCTGCCAGTCTATCAGTGTCTTCTCCACCCTGACACTCCCACCGATGAACTCAACAAACACTGGGCATTCCAGCGAGGGGTCCTTCTGGATGTGATGTTTCTTCTGTTCTGTTTGCATATCAAATGATAACTTCCTCACCTGCACACTGGGGAAGATGGGGAAGAGGGTGTGGCAGGCAGTGGTGGTAGAGAAACATCTACAGGAGGAAGGTGGCAATTAGGCATTGTACATGAGGCTGGGCCCCATGCACCTGAGATGGGCACAGGCCAAAGCTGATGAAAATTCGGTTGTTAGAGCATCCTGACCCTGTTGCTCTACCTCAAGACCTATCCATCCTTTTCTGAGGTTGCCCTGAACGCTGGTTTTCCCAGTACTGCTGGGAGACAAGGAGGAAGAAAGAACCAAGCATGAAAATTTGGCAGCTGTATTAACCTCAGTGCATCTGACCCTCCTCTCCATTTTCAATGAATAATGCAGATCCACAGAAGTTGAGATTGACCTAGAGTCACACGGCTGGTCAATGGTAGAATCAGCCCAGAGACCAGGTCTCCTGAACCACAGGCTTTGGCCTTTCATTCATTGATTTAGGAAATATTTTAAAGCCCTGAGGTATGTCACACTGGGTGCAGAGACAGCCATTGTGCAGAACAAGATGGACAAAGACCTTTGACCACAAGGAATTTACATTTTTTTGTGGGAGGAGAAAACCCACAAACAAACAAATAAATTAATACCACAATTCTAACCTGTGATGGGGATGTGAAGAAAATTAAACAGGGACTAAATAGATGGTAGTTGGGATCAGGGGATGAAGGGAGAGCTCTATTTTTTTGGCCAACTTTATTCAGATATAATTGACAAATAAAATTGTAAGATATTAAAAGGGTACAATGCAATATTTGGTACCTATACAGTGAAAGGATTGCTCCCATCAAGTTAATTAATGTGTCCATCACCTCACATATTTACTTTTGGGTTTTTTTTTTTTTTTTTGGTGAGAACATTTAAGTTTTACCTTAACAAGTTTCAATTACAGAGAACAGTGCTGTCAACCATAGTCACCACGTTGCACATTAGACGGTCAGACCTTATTCATCTTGCATCTGAAAGTTTGTACCCTTTTACCAACAAAAGCTCTACTTGAGATGGACGGTGAAGGAAGGCCACTCACTCTGGGGGCTGGGGCGACATTTAAGATGAGCCGAAGAGTGCGGAGAAACCAGGCCTGCATGCCAGGAGATGGGCAAGAGGGTTCCAGACCCAGGAGCCAGCACCTTTGAGCCTTGACATGGGAGAGTGCCAAGCCAAAGGAGGCGGGCAGGAGAGTGGGGGTGGCCGTGTGGCCTGAAGAAGGGGGCGGCAGGTGGCAGATGACACACTCCAAGTACTGTCAGGGGATTTTGGTTTTATTTTAGATGAAATGGGAATCTGATGTCTGGCTTTCTTCCGTAAGAATTTCCCCAAATGATACAATATTTTGGGAAGGCATAGTTTCACACTATTGTTATTTGAAAGCATAACTTGAACTGTAGGATGAAAAATGGATCTGCTTTTGCACCAAAAAAAAAAAAGATGGAAAGAAAAGTGAAAACCAGCTACAGTCCGTGGCTTTGCCAAACTAAATTAACTGACCTTTCTGGAGTTTTGTGGATTAAGTATGTTGGTAGAATTTGTAAAGCTTGTAAAAATAAATGAATTATAATGTAATGACATAAAAATGACAGGGGTCAACTAATAACTTTAGTTGAGATTAATGTTTGCTGGGTGTAACTCACTGAAAAGGTGAGTGTGGATCAAAACATTTTAACAGAATCATGTAACTATATCAGGGAACTTCCTACTTAAACACATCAAAAGCAGCCTTGTAGTATTGGAGGTAATTGCCTCTAATATTGTGTTCTATAAATCAATGTTTTATGCTAAGCTTTTCAGAGTGAAGCTTCCAGTACAAGAATGTACGTGTTCACACATATGCTAAACACACACACACAAATGAAGAAAATATGTATTAAATGCTGATGAACTGAACTGCACCAGTTATAAAGTCTCATGTTTTAAGATTGACAATTTGGACACACTACATTGATATAAATAATAACTCTTTGAGATTTCTTAAAGAATTGATTTTGCTTAAATTTTTTCCAATATAATTTAAATAAATTAACTCATTTGTTTATCTAGCTATCATCTGATGGTTTCACACAACTTCACTTCCTACTGCTAGTGACGACTTATTTGCTAATGCCAAGTGATCCTCCTGCAAGGAGACGAGGTACAGATCTTTCCCAATCAGACCAGTGAGTGCCAGGACAGCATCTTTATGGCAGGGAAGAAAATCTCATTTTTTGTCAGGACAGAAAGCAGGACAGAAAGATTATCCATTCATCAGAACATATGAATTCCATACCCCAGGACGTACTGTGTGCTATGTTACTAGATTGACATTTATGGAGAAGAAAGTAGTTATTCTTTCTCTTAAATTTCTCAATAATCTACATTACTAAAACCCAGTTTTAATAGACAAAGCAGAATGGAGGCATGATGCCAAAAGGGTTGGAGTCAAAATTCTAGAATGCTAGGCTGAGGATTTTTAAAAAGGTATGAAGTTACTGGTCTGTTTAATTCCTTTTATTCCTATACATTTTAAACAGTGGATTATTTTCTTTGATTTTCTTTTCCTTGAAAGCGGTGAAATTATCTCCTTAGCAGGACTGTCTGCTGAAATTCTCCTGGCAAGAATGAGATAAATGCACGACAACTGCTTCTAATCCTCATTTTCTGCAAATAGGTTGACGAGAATTGTGACCAGTGTTCCTGAGTCTGTTGAGCCTTCTTATGATTTCCCTGGTGTAAAAGACAGAGTTGGAAGTCGTTACAAAAGGAAAAGAGAGAGCTGGAAAAAGCTGGTGGAAGATGATGTTCATTAACACTTGTTGCTCAGAGTTCTGCGTGGTGACAATTGTCTGAGGAAATCAGTACTTTCTTGTAAACAAACAAGCTCAGCTGTTTAAATCCAGCAATTATTCTAGAATGCATTTACTATATGCTTAACACTTAAGTCACAGATACTAAAATATTTCTAATTTTTTCTGTTTATAATAAAGTTAGAGCTTTAACAGAAAGCCAGAATTACAATTCAAATGGTTTCAAATGAATTAGCCATATTGTTTCTGTTACAGTTGACAAATTCTCTTGTTATGCTCTCACTTCAAATGAACAATATATACAATTAGAATGAGTAGACTGGGGATTTACCATTATATATTACAAATATGGATAATTTATTTTAAAGATAGACACATGAACACACAATGTCATGAATATATTTCTAAATAAATCAGCAACCTGTTTTTCATGTTTGAAAATTTAATTTTCAGTTTAATTGAAGACTTTACAAGTCTTTGGTTAATTGTTTAATCGATGTCAATTTTAGGGTAAATTAGGGTACCTTAGTTTTGACTGGTACTTGAATGGTTATACGTCTTTACAGAGGTGAGTCACCCAAAATCCAATTTCATTCTCTTTTAGGAGGTAAACATCTCAATAGAATATAAAGTCAAGACACTTTGACTTGAAATGATTAACCTAGGCAACTAATTTAGACACTAGCATTCAGAAAATACTTTTGCTTTTAAGAAATAAACATCTCAATAGAATATAAAGTCAAGACACTTTGATTTGAAATGATTAACCTAGGCAACTAATTTAGACACTAGCATTCAGAATATACTTTTGCTTTTAAGAAATATTAAAACATTGACCATCTTGCTATTCAGAATGAAAGCCATCTATGTCATCTTTCTCAGATTTTAGAACTTTGAGATCTATCAGAGCTTCCGATCTATTGGACCTTTGAATAAAAAACAAGATAATGTTCCCTCTGTTCCATGAAACATAATTACATCTGTTGTGTGGCTTATTTTCTTTTGATAGTTAATATTTCATTGATTGTTAAAATTGATTCTAAGCAGTGTTTTTGTGTGGAGATAAGGGTGAATCAATTCACTAATTTAAGAGTGCAAGAATTTCTTTAGATTTCTATAACTGAATTTGATTTTTGTTTTGAACCCCATTCCAACAAGGGCACAAATGAAGCCTCAGACAGTTCCCATCTCCTCCCAAACACACACTCACCTATTTTCCCTAGAGTTGTAGCTGAGTTGCTAGGCACCGGGAGAGGGCCGTCCTGTCCTCAGCAGCCGTCGGTCCAGGCAGGACACTGGCCAAGACATTCTCACTCCCATCTAGTCTCTGGGTGACAGTCTTGAGAAACTGCCACACCCTTCATTAACACGACAGGGGCCTGGGAGTTTTGAACTGTGTACTGGAAACGCCTGGTTCTTCTTGTGCCTTGCTGGGCTGTGGGGGCCCATCTGCCTTGACCCGGCACCTACACATTTCTACTCAGTGCTTTTGAGTCATTCTGAGTTTGTAAGAAGAAAGGCAAAGGTTTCCCAGGTTCTCAGATACTCTAAGCCATATCGAGATTCTGGCATTTCTTAGCTTGCCTCTTTGAGCATTTGTAAAGGAAGAGAGGGGTTTCCTGTCACGGGACCTTGGGTGTCCAGCTTCTCTTCCATCCTCCTCCAAATTCCTTCCTCTACCTCAATTCCAGAGGGTGACTGGGTTCTTCCTGGCTCCTCTGAACCATCTGGAACATGTATTGGATGAAAGATGGTTGCAAATTCATTGGCTTTTCTCCCAAAGAGAGGTGGGCTACCATCCCCCTCCCCTTGGATCTGGGCTGACTTCAGTGACTCACTTGAGACTTACAGAAAAGAACATGGTGATAATACTGTGACTTTTGAAGCGAGATCAAAAGAAGACCTGTACCTCCTGCTTTGGTCTCAAAACCCTCCCTTTCTAGATGCTTCCTCTCAGAACCCAGACACCTGCTGTGAGATACCCAGGCGACATCGGGAGGCCATGGGTAGGTACTTGAGTCAAGGGCCTAGACTAGCTGTTAGCCAACAGCCTGTGTTAACTACCACCTTGGATACAGCCCAGTCAAGCCTTCAGCCTATCCCTAGCCAACATCTGAGACTGCATGAAAGAATCTGACAAGAATCATCTGAGCCTTGCCAGTTCTTAAACCACAAAACTGTGAGCAAAATTAAATGGTTGTTTTAAGCTGCTAAATTTGGGGGTAATCTGTTCTGCAACAATAGATAATCAGAACATGGCATATATTTTATGCTCTTTTAAACTAAATTCAGGCTTTCGCAACTCCAAACTCTCACCATCACTTTTTTTCTGTTATTCACTGAATTCACAATTAATTGGGAGAGATAATAAGCACAGGAATATGGTGAATAGGGTAGAGGAACTGTATATGGAATCCTTGGTTGTCTGAAAACATTACCCCACCCCCAAGGAGGGACATGTTATGTGTGAGTGAGGTGTTTTTTTTGTCTCTTGCAAAGAGGGATGGTTCCAATTCCTGAAAGAGAAGGGAAATAATTAAAGGACTGATTTGAAAAACAAAATAATTTCCGTATTTTAGGTCTCGCGGCTTGGAGCATGCTGGGGCTCTAACAATGGACAGTAGGAGAACTGCAGAGGAAGCAATCGGATGGCGGGCACGCCCACTACTGCTGAACACCATTCAGGGAGTGGTACTCAGACCTCAGGGGGATCTGCTCATTTCTCAGGAGCAGCGGCTGGCAGATACCATTATGAACCACATGTTTTTCAGGTCAAAGGGAGAGTTGATCCAAAAGCTTTTCCCAGTGGAACACAATAACATACTGAAATGACATTTCTGGGCACCCTCTTTCAGTCTCTTCTCTCCATCCATTGGCTTTTTTTTTTTCTCTTTATCAATGACCTTTCTCTGCTCCTCACTCTAAGTGACTAAATATGGCTATGCCCCAGTCCCTGAGTTTAAATGTCTCGCTTCAGTCCCACACCATGCTGCCTCCGAGTGTCAGTGCTCTGAATTCCTAGGCTGAAAACTGATTGGGTCTCGGTCAAGTCAGGTGTCTCAAAGGACCTGGTCAATTCAGTCACGGCTGGGGGTGGGTTCTGTAGGAAGACCGTGGTTGGCAGGAGCCCCCCCTCCCTCTGCGGGAGGTGCAGAGAGAGAAGAGCTCTCGGAGAAGGGGGATCACTGAGGACAGGCAGATGCTCCAAAGTTGTCTACTGGGTAAAGTGCCTTCCATGTAACAAATGTTCAATAATCATAGCTATTATGAGAAAAACGTTGAGTAGCAAAAGCACTGAGTTATTCATTCTTAGCTTAAATTACCAGAAAAGCCTCTAGGGGCAGGGAATACCTCACAATCACTAAGCAAAAGTTTAAGGAACTTCTTTTCTGTGCCCCAGGCTGATCACACATCTCACTCTGACCTGGGATCTTTCCTGAGAACATCATCAAAGCTGAGTCACCTTATATAATGTTCACAAAACACATCCAGCTGGGCCAGCATAATTGTAAACAAGGAGAGGTAATCACCTTGGGAAGGAAATACCCCTGAATAGGGCGGCCTTTCTCCTAACCCATAACAATAGTGGCCCATTATTGGATGCTTCCTCTCTGCCTGTCACTTGATAAGCCCTTCGAGAATATTATCCCACGGGAGCAAGGATCAGCCTGGTCTTGCTCACTATCGTGCCTCTAGAGCCCCGTGGTGGGATATAGGAGCACACAACAAATAGTGGTTGGGGGCGTGAGTGACATATCCTTATGACATTCTATTAATCCTCTTTTATTCCATACGAAGAACCATGACTCAGCCTTGACTCTATTATCCAAACAATCTTCCATTCATCCTTCCACCCACCCATCCACTCATCCCCCCATCCAACGATTAGAGATCCTCCCCTGAGCCAGGTTATTTCTAAGAACTGAAGAGAAAAGAACAAAAGACCATGGTCATTTAGGACTTCCTGTCTAGGAAGGCGGACAGGGACAGGCCTCTAGAATGTAATCGGTATTTCCCAGGCCATCTAGCCTGGGAGTACAGTTGGTAGAAAACAGCAACCCAACAGCACGTCTCTGGCTCTGGCCCATCTTGAAGATTTCCCACAGGTTTGAGGTGCCTCAAAAGCTCACTTTGCCTCTTTGATTTTTATACAATTTTTAAATTTTCTTACCATGGAAATACAAGAGTAGAGAGTTGCTTGGACTGTATCAGTCATTTGACCTGGAAAACAGAGCTGCTCAAACTTGAATGTACATATAAATCCCTAGGAATCTTAAAGTACAGAGCCTACTTCGTAGGAGTGTGCCTGCAATGCTGTTCTAACAACTTCCCAGATGATCCATTTGTTGGTAGTCTGGGGATCACTCTTAGAATAGCACAACATTGCATTCCAAGCTACAAGTTTTGCTGATTTTGCTAATTACCTCTCTGAAATGTTCATCTGTGTCCTGTAATTTTTGCAAACTGATATTAAGGCTTGACTGAGTTTTAGGTCAATTGTTTTGGTGAGAATTCTTTGTAGGCGATGCTGTATACTTTCTAGTGTATCCTATCAGGAAGCCATCATGTCTGGTTGTCCCAGTTTTAGTGATGTTAGGTATTTAGGGTGGTCAGCCTGACGATTTCATGTCATGTTAGAGATCCCTGCCAGTAATATAGCATAGTCATCGTCTAGATCAGTGGTTCTCAGTGCTGACTGCACAAAATTACTTGGAGAGATTTTAAAAGCCACTGATGCCATAGTCCTAGTCCAATCAATTATATCTGAATCTCTGGTGTGGGACCCAGGCAGCGTGTGTGTGCGCATATGTACATGCATTTATGTACCTGTGTGTGTTTTAAGCCCCTTATGCAATTCTGATAGGCACCATATGGGGTTGAAAAACCAAGGGCCTTTTTTTTTTCATTTTGGTTTCCAAAATGGTGATATTCTCAATCAATCCTTTTTTCCTCCTTATTTTGCTGAGCTCATAATGTGTAGAAATTCTCGTTTAGAAAGTGAGCCAGGTTATAGGTTGCAAAACAAATCAGCTCCATTCATACTATGACGACACTCAGTCCTCCTACTCTAAAGCCACTCCCGTCCTGCCACACAGTCCCCCTTGCTTCTGGGGACTTCCTCCCCAGGTACCTCAAGCTACCTTTGAATGTCTGAAGCCTGTCACCCCACAAGTCTACCCACTCAAGCCCCACAAGCCTCAGAGGCTATCTCAGAGCGGTGGGGATGGGCTTTTAATTTCTATACTATTTTAACTTCTTCAAACTGAGCATGGGTTATGTTTCTAAATAAGGTATTTTCATTTTCAGAGAAAAAAGGAAGCAGGAAAAGACTACTTCGCCTGACTCTGCCCTTTTGCTTCAAATCCTGATGAGTCACTGAAAATCCTCTTGAATGCTGTCTCTAGGCTTCAGAGGATGGCAGAAGTAAAATAGCCAGATTAATTTGGAAAGTGGAAAATCTTCAGCTTCGCCTAGTCTCACCCAGTTCTGCCACTCTGGGCTCGTGCTGGCAGAAGGGAAGATCTGTAGAGATAAAAAGCAAAAAGCTTGGATTGCTCATTTAAGAATTTTGCCAACTGCCATGGGAGGAAAAGCTGGTCAGAGTCTTATTTTCAAATTTCTTCTTTATATTTGACTTCCTCACTCTCATCCTCTTTCTATTTTTTAAAATGTATCAGTTATTTAATTCAGTTTTTAGAACACCAGTTTGTGAGGATAAACTCCATTTGCGAGAGAGAACACAGAACATAGGCAGCCTTGGAGCTGAGCAACAGCTCTGATTTGGGCTTGAACTCTGAGTCCACAGCTTTCTGGTCAACTTTGTACTGCTCTGGAAGGTTGTATTTCTCTCTCTCTGTCTTTTTGCAGAATTTTAATCGGCCTCTCTCTGTTGATGTTCAGGAATCCTTCAGCATGGCAAAGGAGCCCGAGCTTCAGGACGTCAGTGGAAGAGGCAGAATGGAGTCTTTGTGTGGTGGCTCCTGGGCACGGCAGGAGTAGCGGTATGACGGGGGATTTATTCATATTATTTTCATCTCAGCGTCATTGAGCTCTTACTCAGGCAGCAGGTGTAGAAAATTCTGTATGATTCCCAAACAAAAAGCAGTTTTGACCACCTACTCTCTGGATGCTGGGCTGTGAGTGGATTAGTTAGTTCTTTTAAATAAAGTGCACCCGGACTGTGGTAACTAGTTGAATACTGAGCTCATCCAACGTGATGAAATAATGATTAATGGAAGAAAGGAATGAAGGATGTGGGAAGAAACGGGGGTGGGGGTGGGGGTGGGGAGGAAGGGGAGAAGGGATGGACACATTCCATCACATAACTTTGCTTTTCATTCTTATCAGTCAAGTATTGAATTCATTTAACTACATTTGTTGCAAGAATATTAACAAACAGCAATTAAAAAATGTACAGAAGTGCAAGAACATATCACTCACTACCAAAAATATAACAACTGTCCTATACCTTAATGAATTTTTAAAATTCTGTTCCCAACTTATTTTACAAGCTAAGTTACTGAAATATAAAGACCTTTCAAATTCACTGTGAATGCAAAACAATTAGTTTCTGTAACCTCATTTTTTTGTTGTTGTTGTTACTCCTAAATGGTCTTTTAGACCCAAAGATCAGTGAATTTTCTCCAAACTTACAGCCAAGCTCCATGTGGTTTAACATGGAAACAGCAAGTAACCCTGGTGACCTGATCTTTATTAGTATGCTCTATATTCTGTTTTAGCCCTGGCAGAAAATACCAAGTTCATTTGTTCACTGGAAATGTAGATACCTTGTATGAATGCAGCGTAGAACATGGTCTGTTATTTAAATATTTTATAGATGTGCAACTTATGTAATCTGGTGGTGCAGAGGTTTGAATAAATTTTAGGAGATAACAGAATTTTTATACCAGAATGTGAAGAAACCTATGAAACAGTTGCCCAGAAAAAAGCTCCCTGTATATATAATTTTATGGGTTCCTAGAAGCCATTAAATGAATATTTATAGTCTAGGGCTCCAGGGTAAGAATTTCTGCTTTAATAAAGCAAAACAACAACAAAAAAAGCCTTGGTGAAAAGTTCATCACTTTTTTCTAAAATTCTTTTGTTTTGGATATTTTCAAATTTTAAATTAAAATTTTGAAAATATCTGAAGAGAAGTTGAGAGAATATTATAATACACAAACATGTTGCCACTGCCTGGAATGAACAATTAAATAGTTCATCATATTTTACATTCATATATTTGCCTTTTTTAAAAAAAGCTACAGGTAATATATTCATATAACCTTCTTTTAAAAATAAAACATGAACAAATAAAGCTATAATTCAGCTGGGCCCTGATGCCCATCTCCACATAACTAACCTCTATCCAATCAGACCAGCCTTTATGTTGTTACATTTATGCATGCTCACTAATGTGCGCCTTTTGAAATAATTTATATAAATGATTTATCTAACATATCATTATATCTTCCTCCTTTACATTTAATACTATGTTTCTGAGATCTATCCCTGTTGAGTTTCTGCCAAATCACACTGACTTGAAATTACATGCTAGGTATGCCCCTAAACCCTCCACCTTCGCCTTCTCGGCTCTCACACAGGCACTAGATGGCAGGCAAGGTTTTTGCTTGTGGGCAATCAGCTGAGCTGGGCCGATATACAACTCCTTGAAGTCATCTTAATGGCCAAAGAGTGAAAACCTAGTGTCCTCTCAGGCTTCCCTCTGCTACAGATAACGCTAACCAAATAGCTCCCAAGAACTGCAGGGAGAATGAATTTTTATCATTCTTTTATTCTTTCATATAGTCATCTATTATCATTAAGAACTTAACAAACTTCTTTATGCCAAGATCTGGGCTAGAGATACAAAGATGACCTTGAGGAACAGATCTAGCCAGGGAGATGAGCCCACACACAGACAACCTCAACAGAATGTGGATTAAAGATGAAGTGACATGGGAAAGCAGATGAGGGTCCCTTGGGCTAATGTGGGGATCTGAGGCAGGCTTCTTGTAGGAGTTCAGTCTCAAAGGCTTTGCCTGAAATGTAGCAGGACCTCCAAGGAAGTGGCTTCCTTTCTCTAGATGAGGGGAAAATACTTAATGGTAACATCATTTTAGCCTAGCCATTATTTAACAAAATCATAACCTTTGACTATGCTCTCATTATATGCCAAGTGTTGTACCAAGCAGTGAATGCACATTCTCTCATTTAGTTTAGTCCAACCTCAAGGAAGGTGGGAAATAAGAGCCAGAAAGTTAAATAACTTTCCCTGGAAAGTGACAGGACTGGGACTCAAACCTCAGTGGGTCTCATTTCACAGCCTGAGTTCTAAAACTTTTCTATGTTGACAGATACCTTCATAACCTTTTAAAATGTGCTTTTTCAAAATGTTGTAACCCAAGTTTTGCTAATTCTGCAGTCTCAATTTTCAACTTCACATTACAAGCATGTTTTGGCATTGTTGTTTAGTCTGCTGCATTTTTATGCAATGTAGTCTGTTACATATACTTTTGAAATTTTTCATGATTTTATAATATTCCACTTACTAAGCTCAGAATGACCTTAAGTTTTCCCACATTTAAGATTTATTACTTACTTTAAATACTGAAAATCATGAACAACTTAAATATTCAACACCTCAGAACTGTCCACATAAATGAGGAAACACCCATTGGATAGAATTGTATGCAGCCACCTACAGTTATATTTTCCAAAGTTACAAAATAACATGAAAAAAACACTTAGGATATAAGAAAAACAAGGACTTCTATTTATTAGTTATATATTAGGGTACTCTGTAACATTTGCTTTTGTAAATAATGGTACAACCTCTCTGGCCACCATCAGGATTAGTGGGATTTTTTTCTTTAAGTAGGTTATTTAGAGAATTCTGAGTTTCCCATTTGGTTCAACTAGTAGGTTTTTTTTTTTCCTTTTCATTTGAATTACTTATCACTGGAAGTTTAATAACATCCTTGAAAGTCAGTTGGAAAACAACCAAACACAGCCATATGGACTCTGTTGTTACCAGCTGAGACTCTAACACCATTTCATGTAAGGACAGGATTTGAAATCTGATACCATTACACACAGCCAACAGGAGACTTCATATCTTTAGGGACTTAAGGGGTTTTGTCCATCACTGAGCCCCAATTCCTCACTACAGAGGAGAAACTGAGTCCCAGAGAGAGGAAATGACCTTCCAAAGAACATAGACCAGTCAGTGGGAGCACTGGGCTGGGACTAAGGTCTCTTGATGTTCATGGGGTGCCTTAAAACAAGTGCCTTGGACATCAAAAGTCAAAATACGCCTACAAATAAAGTAGTGATTTGAGTCAAAAGCATTGTTGTTTCAGAATGATTACAGTTTCAGAGAGAGAGTATCCCCTCCTGAGGAAGAGCTTTGACTTAAATAACTCTCCTTTCCAATATCTTTCATGCGAATTGAACATGTAAATCTTGAAGATTATTTGAGTATACAGAGAAGACACTAAAATGAGAGAAAGAGGTTTAAAACAGAATGTCTTTTATTTGAACACTGAATACTTTCTGTTAGTACACAGAGTGTGCTGAGAATGGAGTTTTTCTAAAGGAAAAAAATCATACTGGTAGCAATACAATTAAAATGGAAAAAATACAATTTCTACTATAACACAAATGACAAATAGATAAATTAGCATTCTGTGAAGTCCACTTAGGGCATTCCATCTTCTTATAAGTTGTAGTTTAGACATGAGTATTTGGAATTGTCAAAAAATACCACATTTATAAAACTAGACCCAACAAATGAAAGTGTGTATCATGATTTATTAAATACCTTTAGTGAAACCAGTACTGACAATTAGAAAACAGTTCAAAAAAATCCCTCAAACTAGTGTTTATATTAGAGGTGGCAGTCTTTTTTTAATTCTAACATAAAATAAAACATTTAATATTTCATGTTGAAATTGATCCTTTAAATACAAAGAGTATGCTCTACCTGTTACAGTACATAACTAAATGACATGAAGTTAGGTTTCAGTTCCTCCAGATCCTCAGAGCAGCAGTAAGACAAGTCTCAGAATCATCATAAGGCTGGATTAAAATCAAAGCAAAGCAAAGGCAGGGTCACTCTTATGTGGCCTAAGACAGGAGACGTTGTACATGCACCTAACCTGGTGTGTTACTAAACTCTGGCTCCCGAGTCCTCACCTACTTCTACTCCATGGAGCAGGGGGTAATCTCATTGCTCCTGTATCTGAACTTCCCAGACAGGACGGAATTAGCCACTCAAAAACACTGACTAGATGAATAAGAAAAATCAGAACTTGCTGTTCTGAAAATCTGAGATGAGCCTTTATAAGAGAAACACTTGGAAAGAAACACAAAACTTTCAAAGGCAAAGTGAAGGCAACAATTTGAAAAAATAGCCAGTCAGGAATTTGGGGGTGTTATTGTTATAATCGCAGCTACTTCCCATTGATTGGGGTTCTTCTCTTCTTGACCCATGAAACCTACTTCTGATTCTTTCCACTACCAATTATCATGTTTAGAACAGGGCTATAACTAGAAAGTGGACCTTTGTCATCGTACATAAACCCCCCACCCACCAAATCATAAACATAATCCGGAGCCACATTAGACAATTCCATAGCAAAGTAGGAGAAAATTACAGATGGCAATACCACCCAGAGATAAACACAATTAACAGTTCATAGTATTTCTTTTCTATCTTGGTTTTTCATACACAAACTTTCTAAAAATTGAGATCACACTATATTTGGTGACTTATTCTGTTTTTATATATTATGTTGTCAAGATTTTCTAACACCACTAAATAGTTTTTGAAAGCATGACATGTAATGCCTGCTCAGTATCCCATTAAGAGGACAAAACACTCATTGAAACGTTTCCTTACTGGTGAACTTTTTGGTTGTTTCTAATTTTTTCGTTCATAGTATTTTCCATTAGAAATAAAGTTGCAATAAACATCAGTCTTTGTACATCGCATCATTTCGTTGGAACATATACCAAAAAGTGAAAATGTGTATTAAAGGAAATGAACATGTATGGCTTTCAACATATAAAGGCAGCTTCCTGGAAGAGCTCAAAACATTACCTATGAATTTTTATTTCCCAATATGCTTAATCTCATAGAGAGAGAATTACTGGGATCAATTTAAGTACAATTTAAGACTTCCCATTGATCTTTTTAAAATCATTAAGTTTTCTCCAAAAACTCAGAGTAACTGCAGCAGACTGTTATTCTGTCCAACTCTGAGACTGAATAGCAGATTTAAATGGATACATTTACTGTCTAAATGTATAAATCATCTAAATGTATAGTCAGATGCAAAAATCCTGAAGAAAAAGGAGGCTGAATTATGTACATGTGATCTGATGCTCCCACAACACTGAGTGTATTCCCTAAAAATGTTCAGGTGCACACCAAAACTAAACACTGGCTGAACGCATGATATTTTAAGGTTTTATGGTCTTGTTTATTATAATAAAAATTACTTTGACCTTTCAAACTGCAAAAATCCAGCCCTTCAAAATGATGGCAGAAGAAAAGTACAGGTCAAATAGTTTTTCTTACCTTAAACCTGCAACCAGGCCAGCTGGCATTATCTTCTTGGATCTCTTATATCTCACACCCATTATGGTGGCCAGGAAGAAAGCTGTAACTTAAAACCAAACCAATGCATGAACCAGAGTTTCAAACATATTATCAGTGCTTGCTTGTGAAAAAAAAAACAGTAAGAAAAAGGATATTGTTTCAACTTCCCAATATAATGACTATCATGTATAGGTATTGAGTTGCTATTTTCTTGAAAAGATGAAGTGCTCTATCAAGAGACTTTTTTTTTTGTTATCATTAATCTACAATTACATGAAGAACATTATGTTTACTAGGGTACCCCCTTCACCAAGTCCCCCCCACAAACCCCATTACAGTCACTGTCCATCAGCATAGTAAGATGCTGTAGAATCACTACTTATCTTCTCTGTGTTGCACAGCCCTCCCCTTCCCACCCCCCACATTATACATGCTAATCATAATACCCCCTTTCTTCTTCCCTGCCCTTATCCCTCCCTTCCCTCCCATTCTCCCCAGTCCCTTTCCCTTTGGTAACTGTTAGT